AAGAATATATGCACCCCCATGTTCATTGCAGAGTTATTTACAATAGCCAAGATCTGGACAGCCCAAGTGCCCATCAGAAGATAAGTGGATAAAAAACCTGTGGTACATTTACACAACAGAATACTACATAGTTGTAAAAAAGAAGAAACTTTTACCTTTTACAACAGCATGGATGGGCCTGGAGATTATTATGCTAAGTGAAATAAGCCAAGCAGAGAAAAACAAATACCATATGATCTCACTTATATGTGGAATCTAATGAACAAAAGAAACTGATGAACAAGACAGAACCAGAGGCATGGATACATAGAACAGCCTGACAGAGGTTAGAGGCAAGGAGTTGAAGCTGGGGACTGGTTGGAAGAAGGTGAAGAGATTAGCCAAAGAACATATATGCGTAGTCCATGAATACAGACAGCAGTGTGATGATGGCCAAAGGCAGGGTGGGCAGAGATGGGTGGAGGTGGGTAAAGGAGGAAAATGGGGACATCTGTAATAGTGTCAACAATAAATTTTAAAAGGAATAAAATCACAATAAATACATACCTAGCAATAATCACTTTAAATGTAAATGGCTTAAATGCTCCAATCCAAAGACATAGGGTAGCTAAGTGGATAAGAAAACAAGACCCATAAATATGCTGTATACAAGACACTCACCTCAGAATAAAAGATGCATGCAGACTAAAATAAAGGGATGGAAAAAGATATGTTATACAAATGGAAAGGGAAAAAAAGCTTGGGTAGAAATACTTATATCTGGCAAAATAGACTTTAAAACAAAGGCTATAAGAGATGAAGAAGCACATTACATAATAATAAATCCAACAAGAGTATATAACCCTTGTAAACATTTATCCACCCAACATAGGAGCACCTAAAAATATAAAGCAAATTTTGATGGACATGAAGGGAGGATTGACAATAATACAGTCATAGTAGGAGATTTTAACATCCCAGTGACATCAATGGATAGTTCTTTCAGACATAAAATCAATAAGAAAACAGCCACCTTAAATGACACACTAGATCAAATAAATTTAATTGATATCTTCAGAGCATTTCACCCCAAAGCAGCACAATAAACATTTTTTTTCAAGTACACATGGAGCATTTTGTAGGATAGACCACATGTCAGGACATAAAACAAGTCTCAGTGAATTTAAGAAGATTCAAATCATATCAAGCATCTACTCTGACCATAATGGTATGAAACTAGAAATCAATCACAAGAAAAAAACTGAAAAACACACAAAGACATGGAAGCAAAATTTTAGTAAACAGTGAATAGTATAACAATGAGATCAAGGAAAAAAAATCAAAAGATACCTGGAAACAAAAATGAGAACAAAACAACCCAAAATGTATGGGACACAGCAAAAGCAGTCCTAAGAGGGAAATTCACAGCATTACAGGCCTACTTCAAAACAATAAAACTTTTAAATAAGCAATCTAACTTTACACTTAATGGAACTTGAAAAAGATCAACAAACAAACCTAAAGTGAGTAGAAGGAAGGAAATAATAAAGATCAGAGCAGAAATAAATGCAATAGAGTCTAAAAATACAAAAGATAAATGAAACCATGGAAAGGAAGAAGTAATACTGTTATTGTTCACAGATGGCATGATACTGTATATAAAAACCCTAAAGATTCCACCAAAAAACTACTAGGACTGATAAGTGAATTCAGTAAAGTAGCGGGATACTAAATAAATATCGAGAAATCAGTTGCATTTTTACACACCAATAAAGAACTACCAGAAAGAGAAACTAAGAAAACAATCCCATTCACAATTGCTAAAAAAAAAAAAAACAAACAAAAAAAAACACTTAGGAATAAATTTAACCAAGGATATAAAAGGCGTGTATTCAGAAAATTATAAGACAATGAAAAACAGAAATTGAAGAAGATACAAATAAGTGGAAGCATATACTGTGTTTATGGATAAAAATAATTAACATCATTAGAATGTCCATATTACACAAACAATTCATAGATTCAGTGTAATTCCTACCATGACACCAATGGCATATTTCACAGAACTAGAACAAATATTCCAAAAATGTATATGGAATTGCCACAGAAATCTTGAGAAAGAAGAACAAAGTTGGAGGAATCATGCTACCTGATATCCAACTATATTATGAGGCCACAGTATCAAAACAGCACAGTACTGGCATAAAAACAGACATAAATTTATGGAAGAGAATAGAAAGTCCAGAAATGAACCCTTGCCTTTATGGTCAATTAATATTTGACAAAGAAGGCAAGAACATACAACGGCGTAAAGATAGTCAATTCAATAAATGGTGTTCGCAAAATTGGACAGATATGTGCAAAAAAATAAAATTAGACAACCCTCTTACAACCATCCACAAGAATAAAGTAAAAATAGATTAAAGACTTAAATGTAAGCCTCGAAACCATAAAAATCCTAGAGGAAAACATAGGCAGTAAAATCTCAGACTTTTCTCATGGAAATATTTTTTTCTGATGTGTCTCCTCAGTCAAGGGAAACAAAAGAAAAAAAAAACAAATGGTAGTACATCAAACTAAAAAGTTTTACACAGCAAAAGAAACCATCAAGAAAATCAAAAAACAACCCATTGAATGGAAGAACATACTCATCAATAATACATCTGATAAGAGGTTGATATCCAAAATATATTAAAAATTTATATAACTCAACACCAAAAAAAAAAAAATCCAATTTAAAAATGGGCAAAGGACCTGAACAGACTACCTCTCCAAAGAGGCCTACAGATGGCCAATAGACATGAAGAGATGCTCAGCATCACTAATTGTCAAAGAAATGCAAATTAAAACCATAATAAGATATCACCTCACACCTGTCAGAATGGCTATCATCAATAACTCAACAAAAAACAAGTATTGGCAAGGATGTGGAGCAAAGGGAACCCTCATGCACTGTTGGTGGGAAAGCAGATTGGTACAGACACTGTGGAAAGCAGTATTGAGTTACCTCAAAAGATTAAAAATGGAACTGCTTTATAAGCCAGCAATTTCACTCCTGGGGATATATCCAAAGAAACCTGAAACACTGATTCAAAAGAATATTTGCACCTTTGTACATTATAGCCTTATTTACAATAGTCAAGATTTGGAATTAGCCCAAGTGCCCATCAGTGGATGAGAAGATAAAAAAAAACTGTGCTACATTTACACCAAGGAATACTACTCAGCCATAAAAAAGAAGGAAATTTTACCTTTTGTGACAGCATGGATGGACCTGGAGAATATTACACTACGTGAAATAAGCCAGTCAGAGAATAAATTGAATAAAAAATTTTTTTTTAAATAGCCAAAAACACATTCTAGAACTGGACAACCGAAATAAAAAATATCACTGTGTGGACTTAGCAGCAGAGTGGAGATAACAGAAGACAGAGTCAATACATTTTAAATCAGTTTAATAGATATGCAGTGTGAAGGACACAGGCAAAAAGTTAGAAAGAAATGATTAGAGTCTCAGGGACCAAAGGGACAATATCAAAGGGTCGAACACAGAAGTAATTGGAGGACCTAAAAGGAGACTGGGAGAACAGTAGAAATTTCCAATTCATAAAATCTTAGTGATTTCTTGAGCCCGGCATGGGCTGGGATGAGTTAATAGACACACTCGTAAAGACCTGGATCTAGAGACTCATTCACTATGAGGCTGGTGATGCTGATACTCTAAACTCCTAACATGCATGCATGCCTCCCCAGCCCTAGCAGTGTTCACACGTGCACATGTTTTTTAAAGGGGACTGGATCTGCCTGACCTGGGGCACCTTTCACTTTAAGGTGCACATCTCACAGACCAGGAAGAATTCCTCCACTGCTGTGGCTGCCCTGTGTTCCATGGGGCAGATGCAATACTTGGAAAGAATTGAGTGAGGTTCTGTAGTAGCCACAGCTAACTTTTCTGTAACTCTCCTCTCTGCCCTCTTATTCCAAGCCCCTGGAGCTGTGATGTCCAGTATGGGAGCTACTAGCCATGCGTGGCTATTGAGCACTTAAAATATAGCTAGTCCAAATTGAGATTTGAAAGACATAGTGTGAAAAAGGAATGTAAAATGTCTCATCAATACTTTTTTTCTATTGATTACGTATTGCAATATTTTGATATATTGGGTTAAATAAAATATTAAAATTATTTCACCTGTTTCTTTTACATGTTTAATGTGGCTACCAGAAAGATTTCAGTTACAGATGTGTCTTGTTATATTTTTACTGAACTTCTCAACATTGTTATGAGGTTTCTGGGGACCCCTTCAGAGCTCCCAATAGTGCTGGATGTGCAAAAAGCTGACTGTGAGATAAATCCTGAAAATCCTTTGAGCTCTGGCTAATTCACTCCACAAATGTTTATTAGAAAAGATTTGGCATATTTGGCTACAGGTTCATGTTAAGCTACTGGGTTCTAATAGATGGGAAACCTGTGGGAAACACGCCTCTATGCCTTACCAAATGGAAGTATGTTCTAGACAGGGCAGAGGGAATCTTAGTGTAGGTGAAGTTAGGACTGTAGGAGTAAGGTCCATATAAGATAAAATCTTAACTTTCTCAATTTCCAAATAGCAAATCCTGTCTGGATCTGACCTGAAAGTGCTGAAGTTTATGATCCACAGAGATAACAAATCTATGGACTTCGACCTAAAGCGTGGTCTGAAAACCAACAGTATCGGCACCTGTGGGAACCTGTTAGAAAGGCAGAACCTCAGGCCCAGCCCAGGCCCATGAAATCAGACTCTGTGTTTTGATAAGATCCCCAGGTGAGGTGTATGAGAAACACTTCCTATGAGGTCCAGAGTCTCCATGTGGAAGCATAATTAACTTGATGAAATCATCTGTGATTCAAAACCCTGTAGCTCGGCCATGGATAGATAGTTGGCTGAGAAGTCCAAGTATGTCCTACACTGCAATTTCCAACCAGCCAGACCTCCCTGTTATACCAGCAAGGACTCCTGTCCAGGGGTGTGACTGGCGCTTACCTTCGTTGCACTGCAGACTCCTCCAGCCTGTGGCGCAGGAACACCCGTAGGGGTCTGGGAGACAGAACACGTAGGACTTGCATCCCTCTGGTCCACTACACCTTTCCTTACAAGTTCTGCCAAATGTGTGCAGTTCGCAAGCTTTGGGGGAGAAAAGGGTGATTCAGAGTCAAATATGCAACCCTTTGAAATGCATGATTCTTCTCCCAGACCACTGGACATGGAGAGTGACCCAGTCTCAGCTGTGGCACCGGCAGGGTGGGCACACATTTTACAGACAGTGAAACTGCCCCACAGAGAGGATCCAGAGCCACACCCCACAGTGATGCAGGTTGTGTACAGCACAAACCCAGGGGTGACATTCACATCACAGCCGTTGTAGATGTGTTTGTGTGTTGAAACTTCCCAGTAGTCGACAACAAAAAGCCTTTAGGAAAAGACACCTTTTCCTAATTCACACAAAGGTACCCTAAGCCTAGCAGAGGCCATTTAACTTCCATTCCCAACTCTGTCCAGATGTCAAATTCTAGATCCAGCGACACCTTTTTCAACCCACAACTTACTCATCAAGTACTCCTGACTTACCTTTCTCACAGGTTCTCCCCATGAACCCAGGAGGGCAAATGCATTCTCCAGTGTCCTCGTGGCAGACGCCGCTGTTCGCACACGCAGTGCAGACACGGTTACACTCCGGCCCCCACTTCTGAGCCTCGCACCCTTTGTCAAGGAAACAAGGCTGTGGTGAGCGAAGCACACTGACAACAAGCTGCTACACGTCGGTCATTTTAATGAATGAACAGAAATAACATACAATCTTTGCTTTTTAAAAGCTAACAGTTGAATGTGGGAAACAGATATGTTAACAGGAAATAATGACAGAAACAAAGACAACAAGGGCCTAATCCTGTCTTGGAAGAGGGCATAAGGGAAGGCTTCCCAGAGGAGGTGATATGCGAGCTGAATCTGCAGGACCACCTAGGGAGCAGAGAAGACAGGACTGCAGAGTATGCCGAGTGGAGGAGAGGCCCGGCAGAGACGTGGCCCGCAGGCAGGGCTGCACTGTGGCCAGAGACCACAGTGGGATCCTTAATCAGAAGTATCTCCATTGTCTGAGACACTGTTAGACACGCCAGGCTCAGACTCCCCACCTGTGACCTACTGACGAGAAACTCTGGTGGTGGTCTAGCAGTTAATGCTTAACAAGTCTTCCAGATAATTCTGATACAAGACAGGGTTTGAGAACCTCTGGCCTAGAGTATGCGGAGAAGGGATATGGCTAAAAAGGGAAGCAGAAGCTAGTAGCATCCACCCATTTTTCAGGCAGAAACATACAAAGTGAAACAAGATACAGAAACCTACAGTACAAGGATGGTAAAATGCTTCTAGAGTCATATTTCCTGGCTACTTCTCTCCAGGACTTGGTGACTTCAGATTGTTAATTAAGTCCAGGAATGCCTTCTGATATAAAGAAAATTGGGGGTGGGGGGCAGTGTGACCTTTTGTGGTTGTAAATTTTATTTAATTCTTTTTCTGAGCATCTTTGTCCCTGAATGCTAGTTTCATGATAGTTAAGCTTGTGCCTGTGCCTATAGCCGATGTAACCTTGTCATTTCTTTGACAAGAACTCCTGGTTATCAGTATTTTCTCTAAAATAATCAGGAAGGCTGTCAACATAGACCTTTTCCTTCAGGTTTCCACTTATTAGATAGAGCTGCAACGTGTCTAAAAGCTAATATTTACATGCCTTAATATATAAAGGCAGAAATAAAGCTGCACAATTAGTGATTTCTTAAGAGCCTGACCACAGGCTATTTGCACTGGTGAAGACTAATCATAGCAAACAGTGGAGATGAAAATGGGCTTCCTGTCACATTCAGCTACGCCTCTAGCCCTGAACCTACCTGTAGACCCGTCCCAGCTTCACACCAAATCCTGGGAAGGAGTAGGGGATACGACTCGCGGCAGTGACGGGGGTGATCTCTTGGGAATGGAGAAGTCACAAGACTTTGTTGATAAGCAACAAGTATTCAATTAGGCTTTGTTCTTTTCTTCAAAAGCCTCATGGTTCTGTATTTTAGGAAACCACGTATTCATGGCACACAGAGAGAAATTCTGTAAACTTAATGCTCGGGAGGAATCTTTTGTCAGGGAGAGAAATTATACTGAAAAGAAATCCTATACACACAACCGGTGTGATTGTTTTACTACAGAGTCTTTAAGCACTGACTTTTCCTACACTTCAGTTTCTCCTGCAAAGACACCCCAGTCATGACAAATGACAAATACCTACACAGGGGAGAGGTTACATTGGGGAAAAATACTTTTAAATGGGATGATTGCACCCAAACCCAAATTTCTTAGAATAATTTCAGATATTAGCAGTGATTCTGAAACAGTTTCATTGAAGTGCTCCTAAGAGCAAAAGAGAGTGAACATGTGCTCTGGCAGTCGGAGAGAGAAACAACTTGAAGATCAAATTATGCTTAGTCTTCTGCTTTATCTTAAAAGTTCAGGTGAATTTTAAATTCTAGTCTATGCTGAGTCGTTTTTAAAAAGCTGGGAGCGCCCTGGCCGGTTTGGCTCAGCGGTTAGAGCGTCGGCCTGCGGTCCTGAGAGACCCGGGTTCGGTTCCCGCTATGGGCATGTACCTCCGTTGCAGTTTGTCCCTGGTCCTGGTCAGTTGTGCGGGTGGCAGCCACTCGATGTGTTCCTTTCACATCGATGTTTCTCTCTCTCTCTCTGTTCCTCTCTCTCCCTCCCACTCTATCTGAACAAAAAAATGGAAAAATGTCCTCGGGTGAGGATAAAAAAAATAAAAAATAAAAAATAAATAAAAAGCTGGGAGCTTTTTACCATATAGCAACATCTGATATTTCTGACACTGCCAGAAAATCTGACCATTTACCCCAGAGTCTGAGTACCGTGGTGCATGGTGCTATATCAGACAGGAGAGAAACCATCTAGGAAATGAATACAAAAGGTGTCTTTGCCATTCAGAGACTCCATGAGTGTAATGGAATAAAAGGGGGATTTCATCTGCACACTAGATGGACCACACTTCTCATACTTTTACTTGGGAATTATCCAAGGGATAGTGACTCATCTTCATTTCCTTGCATTCTTAACACCAATACAATGTCTGGCACACAGTTACAAGCAACGCATCACCGCCGAATGAATGACTGGAGATCCCAATCCTTAGAGGAATGACAAAACATCCCAAGTACTCAGACCTGAAGCCTGACTATTTACTATCATGAATACCTGGCACAGCTGGGGGAGCTCAGGGCGTATTTTCTGCTTTCTATAGATGAATTTCTTGTAAAAAATGACTGATGATGGTTACTTCCCACTTGGATAGTTTTAATGGGGTGGGGTTAGTTTTCACTAGTTCTAACTCTTGCATTTTTCAAACCTGAAAATGGAAATTACATTTGAGAGTTAAATGATCTGGGAAGTGTGGGATTTACAGGAGACTGATGTTTAACCAGAATTAGACCAACCCAGAAGGCCCACCTCATCCCCCTATAGGACACCTGTCAGGGAGGGTGCCCAGCTCACGGTGATTCCCCTGTGCATGGATGGCACTGCTATTCAAGTGTGAGGTCCTAGTGTCTGCACCGTGGTACGTGGCTCCACCCTTGTCTATAGCTTGTTGGCCTCTAGGCAAATAGACATCTGATATATGTTAGACCAATTTTATTCTTTATCGTGGGAATTCAAAATTTAGACGTAAAAGAAACATCACCGAGCCCTGGCCGGTTTGGCTTAGCGGTTAGAGCGTCGGCCTACGGTCCTGAGAGACCCGGGTTCGGTTCCCGCTAAGGGCACGTACCTCGGTTGCAGTTTGTCCCCGGCCCTGGTCGGTTGTGCGGGTGGCAGCCACTCGATGTGTTCCTTTCACATCGATGTTTCTCTCTCTCTCTCTGTTCCTCTCTCACCCTCCCACTCTACCTGAACAAAAAATGGAAAAATGTCCTCGGGTGAGGATAAAAAAAAAAAAAAAAAAAATGAAAGAAACATCACCAAAGCTAAGTTAGGGTAATAGAAGGTAGCATCCTAGAGAGAACGTCCACTCTTCCCTGCCAGTGCTGAGCTCCAGGTCTTCCCTGGAGCCTATCTTTTCTGAAAAGTTGCTTATCAGCTTTTCCATCCATTTTCTAAGAGTCCTTAGTACACTTCCAACTGATTCCTGGTTTTTGTTTAAGTAGCCAGAGTTTACTTGCAATTAAACATCCTAACAACTGTGTCATCATAGATGGTGGTGTCTCCGTCACTTACTCCGGACTATCAGCCTGGTGAAGGCTGAGGTGAAGAGGTTTCCTCCTATGTACCTGGCCGAGTACACTCCGGCGTCCTGAGGCTGAGCATGAGGCAGGTGCACTTCTAAAATATCAGGTACTTCGTGCCTGGGCACTGAGTGGATGAAGGAACCTGGTGAAGGGGAAGAGACGAGAATGATGGGTCACACTCACACACTCCTGTTTCTCGTCTGGCTCCTCAACTTGATCAGCTTTCTGTGACCCGACAGAAGATGTGCTCTAATCTACTGAATGTGGGAGAAGAATGAAAAGGCTGAGCCGCTCAGTGTTCCCCCGACAGCCAAGACAGGTATGGTGAGAGAGCAGATAGCCCGTTAGTCTATGGCATATTCTGCCAAGCACATGAAGATCAGGGTGGACTAATGTTCTTACCTTCTTCAGGGGAGGTGAACAGGCAAATTTGGTGGGAAATGTCAGGTAATCCTGCCAACTAATCAATTAACCATAAGATACCTAAAATCACTACTCCAATCTGGAAGTCCATCCCTCCACAGAACTCAGCATAGTCCCAGCAATATTTCCGCTGGGTCAGGCAACAGCCACCAAGTGGTGCCAAACCGTCGTGGGACCGAGTCAGAGTCGGATACACAGTTAAGGCCCCAGAACAACTGCCGATTGGCTTTCCAGGCTCACGCTGGTCATTTTCTTAACTTTGCAAACCAGCCAGCTAACATTTTACATGGCAGAATTTGGAACTCCACTTACCACATCACATGGGGTTTATTGTCTATCATTTATATTCTACATTCATACATGTACAATGCATGTCCATTCATATGCATATATGAATCTCTAATTTACTTGATGAAGTCACCAAACTCATCACCTAAGAGACCTTCTATCATATAACTTAATTTGCTTGCTTCCTGGTAGCTTTACTTCAAACATCTGCTCCTAAAACCGCAGTAAGATAATGACCCATGTGTTGTGTGCTGTCTGATGTCTCACACCATGGTGCTGAAAGCAACCAAAACAGACTCACCATTTTTGTAAATCACCGCATCTTCTTCTTTTATCAACACCTTTTTGAAAGATATGTTCACATTATCTCCCCTGTCCACAGTCATCGTTAAAGTAGCTGGCAGGAAGGAAGCTTTTAAAAGAGAGAGAGAACACAAATGGGAACATGAGCTCACATATTGTCTCCAGGAGCAACTGAACTTTGAACTTCAGATGGTGAGGGCTGGCACTGGGCAGGAGTCAGCTGCTTTTCCTGATATTAATGACAGTGGCAGCTAACGGGTTTCTTAAGGTTATGTAGATTTTGAAGAATATGATGAAAGGATGGTTATGTCCTCTGTAAACATGTAACTATACACATATGTATATTCTTTACTGTGCAATTAGCTGGGGAGGTAAGGACTTTGTGTTGATTAATATGCATTACCAAACTAAAATCTGATATTAACTATAAGCTGTATTAACTATGAATCTGCCATCCTTCTCCAGTCCCTAGTAAGTTCCCTCAAAGTGGGATAGAATATGAGTGGCCAGATATTTGCCAAATGGCTGTTCCCTTGGTCCTTTTGGGTTGTTGTTGCTCCAAAGAATTCTCATGGCGTCAGAAGGCCCCAAGCACTTCTCAGCGGGAATCAGCACAGTCCTGCACTTACTATTAATGTTGTAAATACTGGAATATTGAACAATAAGGCAAGGATGGGATCCAATATCTTGCCTTCTATCCTTCAATTATCTATATATGCGCCGACATGGTCATGGGACTGGAGTACTGAGATGAAGCCGGGGAAGTTATTGTATATTTGGCTTATAAAATCATTATGAAAACTTCTGTCTCCGTGTTAAGCTTGGAACAAAACATTGCCTGAGCTCCTTGGTTTATGGGACAAGATATGTGAACAAATCTTCTAACATTCTCCCAGCTATAAAAGTTTCTGAATTCCTTGAATTTACACCATAATCTGCAGAGAGTCACAACTACGAAAATAAAGGGGATTAACTCTAGGCTTTAAATTACATCAATTAAAAAAATTCCAACCTATTGAAGTATAATCAACATGTAAGTTAAGTCAACACAAAAAAATGTAAGGATAACCACTAAAAGAACAGAAACAGAATATATAACTTTCCTAAATATGAAGGGCAGAAGGAATGGAATAAATAGAAGACATAAAAGGAGAGAAAAAAATCACACAGAAAAATCATGGAGTACAGAAAAGACAGACTGAGATGGCAGAAGTCATGCCAAATATATGTTAAAAGCCAGAGCTTCTTGGAATAAATTAAATGTATATAAATATGAAAATATCTGCTCTTTTCATGAACTATAATGACATGTAAGATTGAGAATAAAGGGATAGAAAAATGTGTACTGTACTAATGACTAAAAGATGCTGGCATTGCAATATTTATATCAGAAGAAAAACATTTATCCTAAAGCCAAAACAAAATTTTAGGAATCAGGATGGCCTTTACATGATGAGAAAAAGTGCCTTGACGGGACATGCGAACAGTGATTCAATCATCTGAACTTGAACACGCGCCCCTACAGCACCGCTGCAGACCCCACAAAACAAACCCTGATGTCAAACCAAACACCCACAAAAATTGGCGTCAAAGAAAGGGACAGGTCCAAAGCATTGCAGAAGCGTTCAAGAACCAATTAATCAATCGGACCAAACTTACTGCGGACAAATATAGATTTGAGTAACACGATTAAAGATCTGCTGAATATTCATGGACCGCTGCACGTACTATCTGAATACATGTTGTTTTGAAGTACCTTGCCTCACTATTAAGCCACAAAGCACATCTCCGTAAATAATGAAGAACTGATATCTCATAGAACAAATTCTCTGACTAGAATGCCCCTACATTAGAAATCAGTAGCAAAACACCCTGTACCCTAAAGCCTGGACCTCCACAGGGTGGCTTTGGGATGAATGACTCGGCTTGAGACGCTGATCAAATGCTCAGAGAGCTGCCCTGTGAGGGTAGAAGATGCCTCTGCCTCCCTCAGGATCCAGGCTTTAGGTCTGTCTGCTTGTTGTGCCCGCTGACCAGGCATGGTGCCCTGCCAGGACGCCCTCATAAGTACCTTGGTGCAGACGGGGACACGGGCAGGCCCAGAGGGGAAGGGTGTGAGCCCTGGATGAGACGGTCCTGGGCTTGAGACATGTACTAGGTCTCTTTGAGCAACTAAACCTCTGAACATCCCAGGTTCCTCCTCTATAACTTAGAAGTGAAAATGTTTACCTTAAAAGGTGGTTAGGAATATTAAATGATGTGCATCAAGTCCCTGGGTGCTTAGAAGTCAGTCTCCTTCCCGAATACAAGTGAATGGCAGCACCGCCGGGCTGTTGGTAACAGGGACTTGAGTGGCAGCTCCCTCAACAGGACTGACCGGAGCCAACCACTGGGGAAGGTAGGCCTGGCGTGGGGACAGGGACCTGGGTGGGCTCCCTCTCACCCCGACAAGGCGCTTCAGTGAGCAATGTGACATGCTCCTGGGCTCCTGGGCTCCTGGGCTAACTTTCTCTGACCATTTCAAACTGTTCCTTTCTCTGGGGTTTGTTTCTACATTCTGCCCCTTGCTGTGAAGCCCGTTCAGCTGACCAGGGGACTTTGCACTCAGCACTGTATTCTGAAAAGGAACCAAGGTCCCCACTCCGCTCCACGCCAGTGCAGCTTTTCTTCCCCCCACGCTGCGGCTATTATTTCAGACTTGGTGCCCTGGAAGCTCTGTGTCCTTAGATAGGAACCAGGCAGCAGGCCCCTGCGCTCAGCCTGCAGTAGTGCCTCCAGGCCCGTGGTTCTCTGCTGAGTGCGGCCGGCCGGGGCTTCCTGACAGCACGGAGCCGGCTCCCACGCGGTACCCAGATCGGTGTCCAGCGCCTCGGCTGGGTCATGGAAACAATGACACCTTCTAACAGTGCCTACTGCTACCGGGCATCGTTCTGAGGACTTGAGGCATATTTAATTTTCATAATATCTCTGTGGCATAGATACTACAATGATCCTAATTTTACAAATGAGGAGAGTAAGGTACAGAGAGGTTACGTAACCTGTCCAAGATCACAAAGCAAGTTCACGGGACAGCCAGGACGGGGCCACGTAAACTGGCTCCAGAGACCCTTCAGAGGTTCGTGTTAGTACTCAAAGGCCTTTACCGTCCCAGCGCCTCATCTGCTCAGCGGGATTGTGGAGGCCCAGGTCAGAAGATGAGCTGCTCAGGATCACTGGGATGAGCTCATCAACTGACAGAACTTAACTGAAAACACAATCCTCATATTCCTGAAGGGCTGGAGAAGAAAAGTAGATGGTAGTCAAGTCATCAACAAAAATGTTTCTCATGGGTGAAAAGATAATTGAGAAAAATTTCAGTTATCTCCTTTAATAGTAGTTAAGGACTAGGAGTAATAAGATTTATAATGGACTTTTATGTCCATTATTATTTTGTTAATTTCACAAAAGCTCTGGGCAAACAGATACCCACGGTTCACCGATGTGGGAGAGAGTTGAGGGTAGCTGAGTCCCTTGCCCAAGGCCTCCTAACACTTGCGTAAATGTGAAAGTTAAGACACAAGCTCAAAGCATCCACACTGGTTCCACAGCGCCTGCTCTCCGGACTCCCCCACCCCAGGCCTGCAACCTCAGCTCTCAGCCCCACCGTCCTGAACCCCATGAGGCTCTTCGCGCACACCGTGCGGTCATTCATGTCTGAGTTATGAGCTTCCTCCTTTCTTTTCTGCTTCTTCTTTTCCCCTACGTCTCACCCACTCTTTCTCATTGTCTTTTTTTTTTAATTGAGAAAAAGAAACATTGATGTGAGAGTCAAACATGGATCAGTTGTCCCCCGCACATGCCCCGACTGGGAATCAAACATACAACCTGGGTATGTGACCTTTCAGTATACAGGACAATGCTCCAACCAACTGAGTGAGCCATACCAGCCAGGGCTGATCTTCATTAACTGTCACTTTTTCCAAGGGCCTTACACAGTCCTGGAACCCAGGTGGGGTGCTGTCATAGCGGCATTTCCCCACTACAGTGCCACTCCTAAGGTGTCTCCCCTACTAGACGGAGCACTCTGGGAGGGCAGGTTCGTTGGAAGGCAGCACAAGGTGGTGGGTAGGGCCTGACCTCTGTGTTAACCATCCCAGGTCCAACCATGGAAACCAGATGTGCAAATGTACCTAAGTTGCAATTGCTCATCTATAAATATGGGGTCATAATAGTCCTCACCAGATATGCATTTGGTGAAGACTAGATTATATGGTAATGCATTTGAAGTATTCGAGAAGAGTTAACATCATTGCATCTCCCGTGTGTGGTACAAATAGAGGCTTAAGAATACATGTGGAGTGAAAAAAAAAAAATGAATGAACCTGATTTCAAATTTTCCTACTTTCTTTATGCCTTTAACATGTTCATTTGTGTTATTTAGATTAAAATGGCTCACCTCTCTCAACCTCACAAATCATGTGTGGAAAGTTGGATGTTCTTAACGTCAAGCTATTTCTCAAATGAAAATAGGAAGAAAAATCACCTGTTTCTTCTGATGGAACATTCTGGAACAGATCTTTGGATGTGAAAATGTCTCAAACTTCACATCTACCTCCCTACTCCCAAAGGAAATCGCCAGTAAGGTTTGAATAAACTGCTTTTGACTGTTTTGGATGATGCCATTGATAAAAACAGGTTGGCCACTGGAGTGTGCGAGCCAATTTAAGCCGTGTTTTGGCACATCTCAAATGGATTTTCCACTTCCTCCCCAGATGCACGAGTCAGCAGCAAGCAGAAATATATTAATGTTTATGCTATCGTACTGTGTCCCTGGGCAGGCGCTTCTCAGTTCCCACAGTGTTGTACCAGAGAATTAATAGTGTCACGAAGACAGAGTTTTGGAGGTTTTCCTGATTCACTGTAAAAGATATCACTTTCCTTGCAACCTAATTCAGCCATTGTATGGTCAGCAAAAGAAACAGAATCAGTGCAACAGCCTGGGATGGTATTACTAATTTAGAGGAAAGTCCTACCTATTTTTCAATTTTGTATAAACCTCCACAATTATGTTAGTAGATGATATTAAATTTTTGCACAATTAAGTAGGAAATTAATAGCCCCACTAAATTATTGCTTATTCTAAGGCACTATATAGTGATAATTATTGAACATTTACTGTGAGCCTGATAATGCTGATGATCTCATTTAATTCTCATATATATGTGGTTCAAGCTCTATCCTCATTTCTCTTTATGAGGAAACTGTGATTTCAGTTAAGTAACTTGCCCTGGGTTCTATCACTCAGCTGCAGAGCTGGGCTCAAACCCAGGAATGGTGGTTTCCACCCCCTCTCTCCACTGCGCCCTGGGTTGCTCTGTAGGGCTTCAGTTGGAGTTGTTGTGGTTTCTAAAACAAATGCGCAGAATGAGGGAGGGAGGTTAACACTGAAAGTGATACAAGAGGGTGATTCAGTGGTCAGTAATACCAGCTCTGCAATCCGATCTCTTGGCACCAAGTCCCATTCCCACCATTTACAAACTGCTATTATTATTTCTGTGTCCCTTCTTCTGCGATGTCTCACTTTACACAGGCTCTGTGGGAACACATCTATTGCGCAACGCATGCCTTATTTCAAATGCACTCATGGGAACTGGCTTCTTGCCTATACCATCTTATTTAAAACTTACAACAACTTTGAAGGTATTATTACGCCCATTTCTCAGATGATGAAAAATGAGACCTGCAGCGGTTAAACACCTTGCCCAAGCCCACACAGCCAGTAAGAGGTGAAGAAAGAATTAAAACTCAGGTGAATATGAATTTAAAAGCCAACCTCTCTCACTTTTTTCTCACTATCCAAGCCTGGTACTGCCTCATTTGCCTGAATTTAGTCCATCCTTTACCCGTGCCGACCTGGACTCTGTTTGGAGGGATCATTGTGGTTGGTTTTTGACCCACTCTTCTGGTTTAACATGCTCTACAGGTTCCTATTTAGACATTGTCAAGGACAGTCCCAGAACATCCTGCGAAACCAGGAGGGCACAGCTTAGATTATCTTCTTTCAGAATGTGGAAATATCAGCAGAAGGACATAACTCTTTATACAGTGAAATCCCAAATGACGCATGTGAAGCACAACAGCGGCGGCTTTCACCATGATGGCTTTGGCACACCTCACATCCCTTTGCTCAACCTCTCTTCCCTCTCCGGAGGGCTGCATTCCTGGGAATGTCTGCTGTGCGCTTTTCCCACTCGCCCTGTGTCATTAAAGGGGAACGCTACAGGTTTGCTAAGAACCTTTCCTTCGTTTGTAGTAAGTAGTGGTTTTATCACTTTAGACATTAAAATGAGTTTGCTGCCTTCAAATCTTTTAATTACCACCATTTGCAAATTCAAAGCAATGTTTTCAGGTGGATCTCAGGTAGGGTCCTACTAAAACCGTGCTATTCAAATTGTGGTCTTTTCTGGGAGCACCTTATAACCTGGGACCTTGGTGATATGCAGAAGTCTACCTACCTATACAGGCCTGGAGCCTTAGGGCAGAACAAAGTCATTAAGAGGTTCACTGCACCTTCTCCTCCAAACTATCAACAGCTTAGCGGATGGCCCTGAAGATATAGCTTAGGACCCACTTCTGTTTGAGGACAAAGCTCCATCACATCACTGCCTTGGGAGGTGTAGCCAGGAGTAATACTCCCCCTTGCCAAAGGCTCTCAACATCCTCCCTCAAAGTCCTGGTGTTCTGTGAGCTGGGCCTGGGTACTCAACTCATAAAATTAAATCTTCTCGTTCCAAGAATGGCAGCCTGCAAAACAGGCCCCAATTTCTCATCCCTCCCAGAATCCATAACTCTTTGCCACGTAACTGAGTACTGCCTTCCCATTCTGATGTAGGCTCAGCTCTTTGACTTGCTTTGGGCAGAAGTGAGAGTGAATAGGACTGAGACTCGGTTTCAAGAGGTCTTCAGTGTCTCCACTTCTCTTGCACGTTTGCCATCTCCATGAGGCCATACCTAGGTTAACCTGCCCGAGGATCACACACACGTGGAATAGACAAGCTGGCCCAGCCAGGGCACCCTTAGGAGCTGACAGCCAGCCAACATCCATCCATGTGAGAAAACCCTGTCAAGATCAGCAGAGCCACCCAATCAACCCAGCTACTTAGACTCACAAGCAATAAATGCTTATCATTGCATGCCTCTGTGGCCTGTGGCCGTGGCCTACACAGCATTCCTGTGGCAGCAGATAACCCGCACACTAGTAACCAGTTAGGCTCAGTTATTGATAGATGTTTCCCTTTTTATCTCTACCATATTTTCCCCTGAAAACATTCCCTTATATTAAAAATATTCAGTAGAGCCCATCCAGTGTGGCTCAGTGGATTGGGCATCGTCCCATGGACTGAGAGGTTGCTGGTTCAATTCCTGGTCAGGGCACATGCCTAGGTTGTGGGCTCCATCCCCAGTAGCGGGCGAGCAGGAGGCACTGATTGATGTTTCTCTCTTACATCAATGTTTGTATCTCTTTCTCTCCCTTCCTCTCTCTCTCTCAAAAAAAAAATATTTATATATATATATATGTGTGTATATATATATATATATATATATATATATATATATAATATTCAAGAGAAAGCCAAAAAAAATAAAGAATCAAATTTTAAAAATCATTGAAAAAACCTCAAAATAGTCAACAGTTTGACAGTACAGTTATCTTTATTGCTGTGACTTTTATATGACATACATGTAACATGTTCATTTTTCTATAAGGGCTGGGATCCCCTAGTAGGACATGTATTTCATTTTACCATATGAATTAGGCACAGTGTCTAGTGAATGGGGTTGAATGTGAGGGAGCTGGCCTGGACAATCTCTTTAATTCTAACGCCTGCTGTACTAGAGACAGCAATGCTTGGGAAGAGGCAGACAAGGTCTTCAAGCTATGCTCAGGCAACTCATCCCAGCCTCTGAGTGACCAGATGCCAACACAAAAGGTGTGTGTGTCTGAGTGGAACTCACGTGCCCACAACCAAGGGGCATGTTACCTTGTTGGCGCATCTTCATGGTGCGTATCTTGATCGCCTCTCCTCGAACTCGCCCTTCACAGAAGTAAGCACCGTTGATTTTACTAGCCTTTTCTCTCTTCCAAACAACTGTTTTAGCCCACTCTCTGGTCACATCTTGAGTAACTTCCAGTGGATCTTGGTGCTGGTTCATTAGGGCTTCAAAGTCTCTGCCTATGGTGAGAGGCTCATGGGGGCGCCACCCAGAGGCAATGCAGGTGAGCGACGTTTCAGCGTCAGACACAAGAGGTAGGGAATTGATCAAGATCAGGTCCATGGCACCATCCACTGTTCCTGGAAGGAAAGAGGGAGCATAATGTATAAGGAAGGTTATAAACATGGCCCCATAGGATAAACTGGTGCTTACCAAGCCTTGTCTAAAAATAGCTATGTGATAAGGCTCTCAACTGACTTCTCACGAGAAACACTACAGGCCAGAAGAGAATGGCATGAAGTAATCAAAGTCATGAAAAACAAGAATCTGAATCCAAGACTACTCTACCCAGCAAGGCTATCATTCAAAATAGAAGATCAAATAAAGAGCTTCCCAGACAAAAAAAAGCTAAGGGAATACATTAGCACCAAACCAGCACTGCAAGAAATGTTAAAAGGAATGCTGTAATTAGCAGTAGAAATGGGAAGAAAAATAGAACCACACTAAACAAAAATGGCAATAAATAAGCACATATCAATAATCACCTTAAACGTAAATGGATTGAATGCTCCCATAAAGAGACACAGAGTAGCTGATTGGATAAGAAAGCATGACTCATCTATATGTTGTTTACAAGAGACACACCTCTCAACAAAAGACTCACATCGGTTGAAAGTGAAGGGATGGAAAAAAATTTTCCAAGCAAATGGAAAGCAAAAAAAAGCTGGGGTAGCAATTCTCATATCTGATAAAATAGATTTCAAAATGAAGACCATAACTAGAGACAAAGACGGCCACTACATAATATTGAAAGGATCTATCCAACAGGAAGATATAACCTTGATAAACATATATGCACCCAATATAGGAGCACCAAAATATATTAAAAATCTTCTGGAGGACTTCCAAGGAGAAATCGACAACAATACAATCATAGCAGGGGACTTCAACACCCCGTTGACAGCACTGGATAGATCCTCTAGGCAAAAAATTAGCAAGGACACAGAGACTCTAAATGAAGCACTAGACCAAATGGATTTAATAGATATCTACAGAGAATTACACCCCAAAACTACAGAATACACATTCTTCTCAAGTGCACATGGAACATTCTCAAAGATAGACCACATGATAGGACACAAACTAAATCTCTACAAGTTCAAGAAGATTGAAATCATATCAAGCATCTTCTCAGATCACAATGGCATGAAACTAGAAATCAATTGCAACAAGAACATGCAAAGACATTTCAACACATGGAGGCTAAATAGCATGTTATTAAACAATGAATGGGTCACCGAGGAGATCAAGGAAGAAATTAAAAACTTCCTGGAAACCAATGAAAATGAACACACAACAACACAAAATCTATGGGATGCAGCGAAAGCAGTTCTGAGAGGGAAGTTCATAGCACTACAGGCCTACCTCAAAAAACAAGAAAAATTTCTAATTGACTGTCTAACCTCACAACTTAAAGAATTAGAAAGCAAACAAAAGAAAACCCCAGAGCAAGTAGAAGGAAGGAAATAGTAAAGATCAGAGCAGAAATAAATGACATAGAGACCAAAAAAACAATTCAAAGGATCAATGAAACAAAGAGCTGGTTTTTCGAAAAGATAAACAAGATAGATGGACCCTTAGCTAGACTCACCAAGAAACAAAGAGAGAGAACCCAAATACACAAAATCAGAAACGAAAGAGGAGAAGTAACAACCAACACCACGGAAATACAAAAGATCGTTAACAACTACTATGAACAACTATATGGCAACAAATTCAACAATCTCAGCGAAATGGACAAATTTCTAGAAACACACAGTCTCCCAAAACTATTCCCAGAAGAGATAGAAAACTTGAACAGACCAATAACAACTAAGGAAATTGAAGAGGTAATCAAGACTCTCCCAGCAAACAAAAGCCCAGGCCCAGATGGTTTCACGGGGGAGTTTTACCGAACATTCAAAAAAGAACTAACACCCATTCTCCTCAAACTATTTCAAAAAATTTAAGAAGAAGGAAGACTTCCAAACACATTGTATGAGGCCAGCATAATCCTAATTCCAAAACCAGAAAAAGACACTACGAAGAAAGAAAACTACAGGCCAATATCCCTGATGAACATAGACGCCAAAATCCTGAACAAAATATTAGCAAATCGGATCCAGAAATACATCAAAAAAATTATTCACCACGACCAAGTGGGATTCATTCCAGGGATGCAAGGCTGGTACAATATTCGCAAATCAATAAACGTGATACACCACATAAACAAAATGAAGAATAAAAACCACATGATCATATCAGTAGATGCTGAAAAAGCATTCGACAAAATCCAGCATCCATTTCTGATAAAAACGCTCAGCAATGTAGGAATAGAGGGATCATATCTCAACATAATAAAGGCCATATATGAAAGACCTACAGCCAACATCATACTCAATGGACAGAAACTAAAAACATTTCCGTTAAGAACAGGAACAAGACAGGGATGTCCACTTTCGCCACTCTTATTTAACATTGTACTGGAAGTCTTAGCCACAGCAATCAGACATGAAGAAAAAATAAAAGGGATCCAAATGGGAAAGGAGGAAGTGAAACTGTCATTATTTGCAGATGACATGATATTGTACATAGAAAACCCTAAAGACTCCATCAAAAATCTATTAGACTTAATAAATGAATTTGGCAAAGTAGCAGGATACAAAATTAACGTCAAGAAATTGACGGCATTCTTGTACATCAATGATGAACTCACAGAAAGAGAAACTGAAAAAACAATCCCATTTACCATCGCTCCAAAAAAATTACGATACCTAGGAATAAACTTAACCAAAGAAGTAAAGGACCTATTTGCAGAAAACTACAGGTCATTGAAAAAAGAAATAGAGGAAGATATAAAAAAGTGGAAGCACATACCCTGTTCATGGATTGGAAGGATTAACATAATTAAAATGTCCATACTACCCAAAGCAATCTATAGATTCAATGCAATCCCCATCAAAATACCAACGACATATTTCATAGAACTAGAACAATACTTCAAAAGTTCATATGGAACCAAAAAAGACCCCGAATAGCCACAGCAATCTTGAAAAAGAAGAACAAAGTTGGAGGGATCACAATACCAGATATCAGGTTATACTACAAAGCAACTGTAACCAAAACAGCCTGGTACTGGCACAAGAACAGGCATATAGACCAGTGGAACAGAACTGAAAACCCAGAAATGGACTCAAGGCAATACGCTCAATTAATATTTGACAAAGGTGGCAAGAGCATACAGTGGAGTAAAGACAGCCTCTTTAATAAATGGTGTTGGGAAAATTGGACAGCTACATGCAAAAAAATGAAACTAGACCATCAACTTACACCATACACAAAAATAAACTCAAAATGGATAAAAGACTTAAATGTGACCCGTGAATCCATAAAAATTCTAGAAGACAATGTAGGCAACAAAATTGCGGACATCATACGGAGCAGAATTTTCACTGATACATCACCTAAGGCAACAGAAATAAAGGAGAAAATGAACACATGGGACTACATCAAACTAAAAAGCTTCTGCACAGCAAAAGAAACAATCATCAAAATGGAAAGGCAACCCACTGTATGGGAGAACATCATTGCCAATGATATATCAGATAAGGGGTTAATTTCCAATATATACAGAGTGCTCATACAACTCCACAAAAGGAAGACAAAGAACCCAATTAAAAAATGGGCAGAGGAGCTGAATAGACACCTCTCCAAACAGGACATACAAATGGCCGAGACATATGAAGAAATGCTCAACATCACTAATCATCAGAGAGATGCAAATTAAAACAACAATGAGGTATCACCTCACACCTGTCAGAATGGCCGCCATCAACAAATCATCAAACAACAAGTGTTGGCGAGGGTGTGGAGAAAAGGGGACTCTAATACACTGCTGGTGGGAATGCAGACTGGTGCAGCCGCTATGGAAAACAATATGGTGCTACCTCAAAAAATTAAAAATTGAACTTCCATTTGACCCAGTGATCCCACTGCTGGGAATATACCCTAAGAAGCCTGAAACACCAATCAGGAAGAATATATGTACCCCCATGTTCATAGCAGCACTATTTACAATAGCTAAGATATGGAAACAGCCCAAGTGTCCACCAGTAGACGAATGGATCAAAAAGCTGTGGTACATATACACAATGGAATACTATGCAGCGGTAAGAAAGAAAGATCTCTTATCCTTTGAGACGACATGGAGGGACCTGGAAAGTATTATCCTAAGTGAAAGAAGCCAAGCAGAAAAAGACAAATACCACATGATCTCACTTATATACGGAATATAATGAACATAACAGTCTGAGGAATACAGTAGACCCAGACACATGGAAGTAGGGCACAGACTGACATCCCTCAGAAGAGGGGATGGGGGGTGGGGGGGTGGGAAGAGATAAACCACAGAACTTATATGCATGTATGCATGACCAATGGACATGGACAACTAAGCCGGGGACAGGGTGGAGGGGGGGTGGGTGGGGGGTGCCAATGGGGTAAAAAGGTAAAATATCTGTAACAAAAAAATAAATAAATAAACAGAAAAAAACAAAACAAAACAAAAACAAAACAAAAATAAATAAATAAATAAAAATAGCTATGTGAGCAGTCCTAAAATGCTACTCCGATCAGGTGTCCATCTTCTATAATACAGGATCCAAAACTCTTTACCATGACATCATGTCAACCGTGCTGAGCTCTCCTGAACCACCACAGACCCTAGCTGCAGCGGACTGTCAGATTCTTTCCATTCTTCAGAACAAATTCTGCTCTATATATCTCTACCCATTATAGTGCCTCAGACATCAGTGAGGTATTCGGTCAATGCTTGTTGTGTTGAGAGAAATTTATGACAATGACATTATTGTCATTATTAATTATAAGTAGTTATGATTGATGATAATGTAGTACTGCTATAATAATAAAGTATTTTAAATAAATATATCAACTATATACAAGGTTACAGTTGTGAATCCATGAAACAGTTTATTCTTGTATTATTAGTTATTAATTATTGTATTATTTTCCCATACAATTATAAACCTACTTTCGCCCACCCCTGTACACTGTGTGCTCACTTTAAGACTCTCATCATTAT